ATCCATGGGAAATACATACTAAGACTCCCAGCGGGTGCCTGAAATCATGGATAGTACTGAATCCTAAATCCCATATATACCCTGCATTTACTATGCATACATACCTATAGTAAAGTTTAATTTATAAATTAGGCACAGTAAGAGATGAACAGCAACAACAATAGAACAGTTATAACAATATCTACAGGGATTGGGTGGAAAACTAAAAAATATATGTAACAATACACCAGCATTACTACTCTTGTGTTCTGGTGCAATTATTAAATAATATCAGCATTTTGTGAACACAATAGCCCTATGACAGAGCTATGACAATAGCTCTGATAACCGAGAAAGCTACTTAATGGACAGCACGGACATGCTGAACGAAGGCAGAATTCATGTCCTGGGCAGACAGGGCAGGATGGCATGAGATTTCATCATGCTACTCAGAATGGTGCACAATTTAAAATGTATGAATTGTTTCTTTCTAGAATTTTCCATTGAACATTTATTTTTTACCATGGTTGAATGCAGGTACCTGAAACTGCCAAAACAAAATGGCAGATAAGGAGAGACTACAGTATTTTGTTTCATGCGGATTTCAGGTATATTTCAATATGTTACCTTTTTCCCACAACATGGCTCTCTGCCCCCCACTGCCACCCTCTTCTTTCAGTCTTTTTCATCTTAGCCCTTTAGTATTCTCTTCTCTGAGCTCAGCAGTACAGGCTGTACCATACTGTTTCCCAAAGTAAATGGTTTCCTCTTTCTGCTCCAGTTCCCTCGAGCTACAATTAGCAGGAAGTTGGGACAGAAACAAATCAAATAGTTCTTAAAATTCTGGGAGGATTATTCAGTGGCCACAAAGCCCATTCAGAAAGCCTGCTGGTCAAGCAAAGTTATTAAATTTGTCAAATCATGTATTAAATTTACTATGGCAAGGGAGATCACCTTGACAGGGTTTGGTAATGTTTCAATAAGGGAAAGTTAGACAAGAGTATACATAAAGTTCTGGGATATAAACTCCACCAGTTTACGCGGGTATTTCTCCCCCCAAGATGGAGAATGGGTAAGGATTAGGCAAAGTTTGTGATTTAGTAGTTTAAAACTGATGGATACAAGAAATAAGTCTTGATGAACAATCTATCCAGATAAACATGTTTGCCCTAAAAGTCACAATGTTTGTTCTGATAGCTATTTATCTAAACTGATTTGCAAAAATTTCCTAGAGCAAAAAATTATGTTGACATAATTGGTGTGGATTCTTAGGCCCAACAGTTTGCATGGACAGTCTCATTTCTCAAAATAAGTCAGCTAAAACTTAAAATCTTTAAAAGCTATAAAACAATGGAGGATACGGGTAGATAGCACATCCAATATTAGTTGTTTTACATGTTATAGTTAAAAGAAACAACCTATTAGTATTTGGCCAATTCATTATATGGTGAATTGATCTAACAAAGAAAAGAGTTTTGGCAACATGGATTGCTTCTAATGTAAGTGTTACATTAAATTTTGTCCTTGACTTTCTTTTTTTCTCTCTATAGCCACTCCTTTAAACTAAACCACAACTTCCTATCATCTACAAAGTTTTACCCCCAATCTTAGTTTCAATCCTTGATCTTTCATTTTATTTATTTATTTACAGATGGAATCTCACTCTGTTACCCAGGCTGGAGTGCAGTAGCACCATCTTGGCTCACTGCAGCCTCTGCCTCCCTGGTTCAAGCAATTCTCCTGCCTCAGCCTCCCAAGTAGCTGGGAGTACAGGTGTGCACCACCACACCTGGCTAATTTTTTGTGTATTTTTGGTAGCGACAGGGTTTCATCATGTTTGCCAGGCTGGTCTCAAACTCCTGACCTCAACTGATTCACCTGCCTTGGTCTCCCAAAGTACTGGGATTACAGGCGTGAGCTGCTGCACCTGGCCTAATCCTTGATCTCTCTTTCAGATTCAAAATTATATTCTAACTGTCTGCTTGACATTTCTACTGGATATTCTGATTCATTTTCCCCATAAGACATTTCTTCCACCATCATAGTCTAATCATCATTCTACCTGTCAATGAAGCTAAAAACTAAAAAAGTAACTTCTAATTCTTCTCTTTCCTTGGTCTCTCTATTCAAAACTATTCATATCCCAGATCCAAAGGATTCTCTAAGGCAGTGTTAATCAAAGTGCTGTTCAGTGAGGAGATAAGGAGTTCATGGAAGAACATAAACCAAGACTGTTTCCTTCATGGAGAAAGCCTCATCAGCTGAATTAAATGGTGTGCTTAGTGACACAGTTAATTACTAGTCTGGCTTAAGCTTCTTACTCTGTTACAAACTAGAAATAGCTTGCTGACCAACTGCCAGCCTCAGACCGTACCTTTTCCCAAAAGGGTACAAAATTTGGTTCTAAGGGCAAATATGGACCTTTACATAGGACCACAGCTCTATTCCAGCTCCGTGCCAACCTAGCATGACAATGAAGACCATGTGGTCTTTGCCTTGCCTGCAAGTTCTGAAAAATTTTTCTTAACATTGTTAGTCTGTTTCTTTTTTTTTCACTAAGTACTATGTTTTAAAGTTCCATCCATGTGAATCTACCCTTTGCTTTCTTTCTTTTATTTTTTAATTTATTATTTATTTATTTATTTTTGAGACCAAGTTGTGAGACTGGCTGTTTTATTTTTGGTAGAGACATGGTTTTGCCATGTTGCCTAGGCTACTCTCGAACTCCCGGCCTCAAGAAATCCACCCTCCTCAGCCTCCCAAAGTGTTGGGATTACAGGTGTGAGCCACCATGCCTGGCCTACCCTTTGCTTTTCTAACAGCTGCATAATATTCCATGGTACCTCGCCTATTCCAGCTCCTTGCCACCAGAAACAATTCCGCAAAGAACATCTTCACATGTCTCCTGGTTTATAGGCTTTCCACCCCTTAAGATTTTCTAACACTTAGGAAGTATCTCCCTGTTTCCAACTTCTGCCTAATTCAAATCTCACTTTGATAGCTAAAACCTTTGATAGCTCCCCATGACTAAAAGAGGAAATGCTCTTACTTCATCCTGGTCCCTAAGATTCTACTCCCAATTATTTGGCTTTATGTCTCACTACTATGCTATTCATATTGTATCTTCCATTCACATTGGAGTGCTACTTTTTGGTCTTCTCTCATATTTCTAACTTTCCTGCCTGTCAAAACTTTACTCTTTTTATTTCACCCTCTCTTGGATGCATTTCCTCTCATTTGCAACTGTCAGATACTATCAGTCTTCAAAAATAACCCCCTTTACAAGGCTTTCTCCTATTCTTCTCCTTATTAGAAATTTCAAAGTTTGTTACTCTCCCATTTATGATATTATTCTACATATATTATAGTTATTTATCTATTTAATTTTTTTTTGAGATAGTCTCACTCTTGTTTCCCAGGCTGGAGTGCAGTGGTGCAATATCGGCTCACTATAACCTCTGCCTCCTGGGTTCAGGTGATTCTCCTGCCTCAGCCTCCTGAGTAGGGATTACAGGCATGCACGACCACACCCGGCTAGTTTTCTATTTTTAGTAGAGACCAGGTTTTGCCATATTGACTAGGCTGGTCTCCAACTCTTCTGACCTCAAGTGATCCACCTGCCTTGGCCTCCCAAGTTTCTGAGGTTACAGGAGTGAGCCACCATGCGTGGCCATATTATAGTTATTTATTTATCTATTTTGAGACAAGGTCTTACTCTGTCACTCAGGCTGAAGTGGTGCAATCTGCCTCACTGCAGCCTTGATCTCCGAGGTTCGAGCCATTCTCCCACTTCAGCCTCCCAAGTAGCTGGAATTCCAAGTGATCGCCACCACACCTGGCTAATTATTGTATTTTTTAGTAGAGACGGGGTTCACCATGTCGGCCAGGTTAGCCTCAAACTCCTAGTTGCTCTCGAATTCCTGACCTCAGGTGATCTGCCCACCTCAGCCTCCCAAAGTGCTAGGATTAGAGGCAGGAGCCAAAACGCCTGGCCAGCAACCATTCTTTTAGTGATGGAAATAAAATCTCATTTGGATCAGGTGTACAATTTATATCTTCTCAGGACTACCTAAGTCTGAATCTACACAAGATCAGACATCTACATCACAGCCAACTGATTCCTGTTTTATGAAAAATGGCTGTGCACTGTTGGCCAGGAGTTTATGAAATATAATGTGAAATATCAGATGCTATTGCTTTAGATAGCCTTCAGTAGATTAAGGAGATTGTTCTCCTTATCCTTAAGATGTCTATTTTTTACACGACTGAAAATTGCCCTTGTAACTTCCATTTCCAGTACAACTTCTGGTAGGAAATAACAGTAACACTTAGTGTTATTTATTATTTGCTGGGCATCCTTATAAGGGTTTTACCTGGGTTAAATTTATCCCTCAGGACAACTCCATGAGATGGGTGCTATTATCACATTAATTTTATAAATAAAGAACTTAGGCACAGAGAGAGGTTACGTTACCCGTCCATGGTCACGTGGCTGGTGAATGGCAGAGGAGGGGGTGCCGGGGGGGGGAGGCGGACACTGAACCCAGCAATCTCAGCCAGGGATCTGTGCTCTTAACCACTTTCCTACGATTATCCCAGGGTCTCTCAATGTTTATCTCCGTTACAGAGGCGGAATTCTGCTGGAAGCTTTTGACAGCCTCATCTAGTATTGTGTTTTGTTCTACCAAGGCTTTTAGCTGCTGAGACAGGCCACTGCCAGGAACAGCCAGGGCGCCGAGCTGTCAAGGCTGACTGAAGAATGGACACTCATCGCGCAGCGCGCAGGACATAGGGATGAGGGGCAAGCCCGCCCGGCGACCCACTTTGCACAATTGTCCTTAGCCAGAAAATAACAGATCGGGGGGAACCCAGGCACAGAAACACGCGCGGGGCCTCTTCAGAGGTCGGGGAGGGGAGGTGGGAAAGGGGCGGGGAGGAAGAGAAGAAGAGCAGCGCAGGGCCTGGCCGTTTGGAGGAGGTGCTGGGGCGGTGCGAAGGGAGGCGGGACAGGGTAGACTCACAGATCCAGGAGCTGACTGACCCGCCGTGGGCGAGGCATCGCTGCACCTTCTGAGCCTCTTCCGCGGTCCCAAGGCCTACGGAAGCCAGCCAGGGACCGTCCGCCAACTCCTAGCCCCCGCGCGACGCGTAGGTTTTATGACGTCACACTTTTTTTTTTTCGGTGACCGGGGCGTGGCCACGCTTCAGACTCCACAAGGAAAGAAGAGAGCCCCCTTTAGGGCGGAGCCACTGAGAGCTCCGCGAAGAGGCTGGGTGTGATAAAACATACAGAGGCCCTAAGCTCGGGTGCAGCCCGACGGGAGTTGTAGTTCTTTCACCTCACTGGCTTCCTCCCGGGTTAGGCTGCAGGAAATTTCCCGGGAGTTCATCCCAGCACGGAGACCTGCCGCGACGCCACGAGCCGAGAACGCTTCTGTGGCGAAGGGAGCGCCGAGAGGTCGCAGCTCTTATAAAAGGAGGCGGTGGACGCTAGGCCATACCGTTGGCGATGCACACTGGAGACCTGCTCGGATTCGGACCCATTTAACATCAAACGGAGCGTTTTAGAGGATCCGATTTTACTGAGCACTTTCTAGGAAGCGTCCTTCCACTGAGCTACGTGCTTTCTATGCCTTATTTCAACAATTAACCATATTTTTAAAAAATTAACCATATTCATTATAATCCGGTTAAGTCAGAATTACTTAGCCTATTTTACAGATGAGGACACTGCAGTACCAAAAAGTAGCCTCGCTAAGAATTTCGTCATGAAGGAGGAGGGAACCTGTATACAAATTAGGAAGGATCCTAAAGAAAGGGCACCTTTCCCCAGGTGGAATTTTCTCTTTGGTTCTGCTGCAGAGTACTTGCTGCTTTTTAGCGTTTTTGTTTTATTCTTTGTAGATTAATCGGTTGTTTATATGCTGGGTTTCTTTTTTAAGCTCCTTGGAAGTTGGAACCCACTCCGGTTCGCCTGTGCTGGATGCTGCGCAGTCAACATGCATTTATTAAGCACTGAATGAGGGCCAGGGATCGTGCTGGGTGCTGAGGATTGAGTGGCGAACACTTGCCTCAGACAAGTAAAAGGGTAATTAGAATAACTGTTAAATGCTTAGATGGGGTTCGTTCTATAGAAGCACCCATGGTTGGGGGGTACAGATCAGAGAGAAAAGGGTGGTCTGCAGATCGTTTGGGATGATTACACTGGAGAGTGATCGAGTGAGTGTAGGGTAGGGGTTACTGACTTTTTGCATGAAGTGCTCTGAAAGTTGCAGATTCTAGGAGAAACTATTGTCAGACCTAGACAAATTGGAGCCCAGAGACCATAAAAGAGGGGAACTTATGGACGTATGTCTGAGATAAGAACTGTACAAGGCCGGACGCCTGTAATCCCAGCACTTTGGGAGGCCGAGGCGGGCGAATCGCGAGGTCAGGAGAGTTCGAGACCAACCTGGCCAACATGGTGAAACCCTATCTCTACTAACAATAAAAATTAAAAAATAGCGGGGCGTGGTGGCAGGCTCCTGTGATCCTAGCTACTGAGGAGGCTGAGGCAGGAGAATCGCTTGAACCCAGGAGGCAGAGGTTGCAGTGAGCTGAGATGGCGCCACTGTACTCCAGCATGGGCGACAGTGACAGAGCAAGACTCCATCTCAAAAAAAAAAAAAAAAAAAAAAAAAGTTGTCTCAAGGACTTAAAAACATAAACCAAAAAACACACAACAATTTCTTCACGTCTTTCATGCATTTCATGTTTTGCACAACTAGCTCATTTTGCAAATACGCACACATTTCTATGGCACCATTTATTGCTAAACTGCAGCAATTCCGATAAGCTACTGTCAGAAGGACGTTTGACCCAGCAGCAACACCTCCACCAATGAACGAACTCCAGTTCTTTATTTGAGCCTCGGAACCAATGGACTTTGTTTCCAAGACGTTCCTGTGAACTTCTTTCCTGTACCAGTAAAATCTTGCCCCTACTCTCTCTTCCTTTCTGCAGACCAGTGGCTAGCATAGCTATACATCTTGGATTATAATTCTTTTTGCTTACTCCAAAAGAAACTTAGTATCTTTGGAGAAACCCTTCTCTGTTGTCTTTTAGCTTCACAGTGCCAAACAATAAATATTTTGGGTTTTGTGGGCCATGCTGCTTGGTCACAGCTATTCAAACTTGCAGCTTAAAATCAGCCATAGACAGTATGAATGGGTGAGGCTGTATTCCAATAAAACCTTATCCTAAACACCAAAGTTTGAATTTTATGTAATTTTCAACTGTCATGAAATACTCATCTTTTGATCTTTTTCAGCTACTGAAAAATGTAATAGCCATCCTTAAGTTGTTGTACAAATACAGTCAGTGGACTGGATTTGACCCTTGAGCCATTTGCCCATGTGCCCTCCCCTGATGTAGAAAGCTAAGATGCAGCCTGATGGCCGAAAAGTTAAACAGTTTAGGCTTTTTCTATAGAACTTTGGGCAGAGTCATTGATGGGTTTTAAGCAAAGACAGGGCACGCATAGGAAAGATGTGTTTTAGAAAGATAACAGTAGCTGTTATATGGTAAACGGACAATTCACAGGTGGAGGCTGGGTGACCAGATAGAATACTTTTTTTTTTTTTTTTTTTATTGAGACAGAGTCTCTCTCCGTCTTCCAGGCTGAAGTGCAGTGGAGTGATCTCAGCTCACTGCAACCTCTGCCTCCTGGGATCAAGTGATTCTTCTGCCTCAGCCTCCTGAGTAGCAGGGAGTTCAAGCAATTCTTCTTCCTCAACATCCCAAGTAGCTGGGCCTACAGGCGTGCGTCACCACGCTAGGCTAATTTTTGTATTGTTAGTAGTCAGGGTTTCACTCTGTTGGTCGGGCTGGTCTCAAACTCCTGACCTCAGGTGATCCGCCTGCCTCAACTCCTCAAAGTTCCTGAGATTGCATTCATAAGCCCGTGCACCTGGCCCAGATAGGAGACTTTTACTGATAGCTTAAACTAAAGTAATAGCAGTGGAATCGACAGATTCAAGAGGTGATGGAGGCTGGGCATGGTGGCTCGTGCCTGTAATCCCAGGAACTTTGGGAGGCTGAGGCAAGTGGATCACCTGAAGTCAGGAGTTCGAGACCAGCCTGGCCAACATGGTGAAATCCTGTCTCTACTAAAAATACAAAATTAGCTGGGCGTGGTGGTGTGTGTCTGTAATTCCAGCTACTTGGGAGTCTGAGGCAGGAGAATCACTTGAATCTGGGAGGCAGAGGTTGCAGTGAACTGAGACCATGCCACTGCACTACCTCCGGGGTGTGTGTGAGTGTGTGTGTGTGTGAGTGTTGTGTGTGTGTGTGTGATAGAGTCTTGCTCTAAAATATTTATTGTTTGGCACTGTGAAGCTAAAAGACAACAGAAAAGGGTTTCTCCAAAGATACTGAGTTTCTTTTGGAGTAAGCAAAAAGAATTATAATCCAAGATGTATAGTTATGCAAGCCACTGGTCTGCAGAAGGGAAGAGTAGGAGCAAGAGTTTATTGGTAAAGGAAAGACGTTCACATAAACGTCTTAGAGTCACATAAGAGTCTTGCTCTGTCACACACACACACACACACACACACACACACACGAGGTAATGGAGGTGGAATTTATAGGGTTTAAAGGTTGATTGGGATGGGGTTGGGAGTAAGGGAAAGTGAAGAGTTGATGCTAATTTCTAGGCTTTGGGTTTGGAAATTTGGTGGCTCATGGTAGTGCCATCTATTGAAGTGAGAGGATTAGACGGGTTTTTATTATTGTTATTATTATTATTATTAAGGGGGAGAGGTTATTTAAATTTTGGACATGTGGATTTTGAGGTGTGTCTATGAAAATACAGGCTTGGATATAGTTCTGGAAATGGTGCTGGTTTGATTTTAAAGAAGAGATTGAATAGCAGTGATAAGACTGTACAGGTATTTACTCATGGATACAGTAATTTTTTGGACAAATACTCAGCTGTTCTGGAGCCAATCAGACCTTGGAAGACCTTAACAGAGTAGGGCGGGACCTCATGGTGCTTCCTACTGTTATAACCAAGTGAGTAAGATGGAAAAGGACACACTGTGAGTTTGAATCATGAGTCCTTTATTGCCAGTGACCAAGAGTCAGCTCACGCTCAAAATCTCTCCGTCCTGAGGAAGGGGCTTGATTTCCCTTTATACCTTGATTTAGGTGGGGGAGGGGGAGCCTAGCTGAAGCAGAATTTTATAGAAGCAGAATATGCAGGTTAGGAAAGGAAGCTCCTATGATTGTTAATTAACTAAGGAGGGTAAACACAAGTGGTTCCCATGATTACTGGTTACCAAGCGGGGCATTCGGTACTTTCCATATAATTAATCAAGGGGTGTTCACAATAGCAAGGGGGCTTGTTAAGCAGGGTATGTTTACAATGGTTATATGTTTCTATGGTTCTAAATACAACATGACACAGCACTGTGTGACCCAGATATGCACTCAAGGGAGAAATGGCGGGAGGGGTGAGGTGGAGGTTAAGATGGAGTCTGTCTGGCTTTCAGTAAGATGGAGTCTGTTAGGCTAACACAGGGTAGGTTAGCACACTATCTGTTGAGTGCCGTATAGCTGTCCATAGGTCTTTCCAGGGAGCACCGATTCTTCAAGACCAGGAAAGTGCAGATCACTGCCCCAGTCTTATGACGTGTTCAGTGTTTGGGTTCCTGCGTGCTTCCAGAGAGTCAAAGGAAGTTGTCACAACTGCTTTTATTCTTTTCTTTTTAAAAAATTACATAGTGAGGTAAAATAACCAAATTATTTCTAGCCAATGTATTATAAATGTCCATGCTGAGTAAGCCCGCATGATATCTTAGTCCTTAGGACTGCTTGGTTTTTTACAATTATTTCCTGCAGATTTTAGCGCTTTGGTATCTCCAAGCCTGCCTCCCAGATGCTTAGCATAACTGAATCGAGAATTTCTTATTTTGGGTCTCCTGCCATGGATGAGATAGATCTGATGTACACCTTGCCATACTTGTTTAATTCCTTCCTGGTTTTATAGCAACCATGTGGTTTGGGGAACTGACTCCATCTTCAGAGGTGGGCTCAGATTAAAGCTAATCAGTGATTACTCTGGTGATTGATTCAGGGATTACTGAGCCTAAAGCAACCAAGAAATTATGATACAGTCAACCCCCCCATATCCGCAGGCTCTGCCTCTGTAGATTTAACCAGCCATGGAGAAAACTATTCAGGTAAAAAAAAAATCAATAAATGTGAATTTAAAAACCAATACAGTATAATAACTATTTACCTTGTATTAGGTATTACAAGTAATCTAGAGATGTTTAAAGTATGGCCAGGCACAGTGGCTCCATTCACCCCTGTAATCCCAGCACTTTGGGAGGTAAGCTGGGTGGGTCACCTGAGATCAGGAGTTCATGACCAGGCTATCCAACATGATGAAACTCCGTCTCTAATAAAAATGCAAAAACTAGCTGGGCATGGTGGCAGGCACCAGTAGTCCCAGCTACTCAGGAAGCTGAGGCACAAGAATCACTTGAATGATAGACAGAGGTTGCAGTGAGCCGAGGTGGCATCATTGCACTCCAGCCTCGGCGACAAGAGCAAAACTCCATCACAAGAAACTAAAAATTAAAAACATAATAAAGTATATGAAGGCTGTGCATAGGTTATACATGAATATTACACCATCTTGTATAAGAAACTTGAATATGTGTAAACTTTGGTATCTGTGGGGGTCCTGGAACAAATCTTCCACAGATACTGAGGGAAAACTATTCCCTCAGCCACAGGGATTGGTTCAAATATAGGCATGGGGGAAAGTACTTGTTTGGGGCCAAGAAGAAGAAGAAAACATTGTGCTGGAAATTTCTGGGAAAGCTTTCTCAATCTTACAACAATGCTTTGTGAAGCAACACTCTCTCTCATTGCCAGGTTGAAGTTAGAGGAAGGCAGAGTATGAGAACATAGAAGAAAAACCATGGTCCTGATTGAACATGCCTGAGCATCATCCTTCCTCTTACATAACTCAGTTCCTTCTTTTGTTGATAAAATCAGTGGAGTTGGGTTTCTGTTTGTTACTGCTCAAAACACCCTAACAGCTACATATCCATAGCAGGAATTACCAGTATATAGGTGAAAATTGAAGGTATAGGACTGGATGAGATCACCTAACAGGTGTGTGTAGAGAACAACAACAAAAAGTCCTCTAAGGCCAGTCGAGGTGGCTCACACCTGTAATCCCAGCTCTGTGAGGCCAAGGCAGGTGGATCACAAGGACAAGAGTTCAAGACCAACCTGGCCAAGATGGTGAAAACCCATCTCTACTAAAAATACAAAAATTAGCCGGGCGTGCTGGCACATGCCTGTAATCCCAGCTACTTGGTTGGCTGAGGCAGGAGAATCATTGAACCCAGGAGGCGGAGGTTACAGTTAGCCCAGATCACACCACTGCACTCCAGCCTGGGGAACAAGAGTGAGACTGTCTCAGGAAAAAAAAAAAAAGGTCCTCCAAGAGAGTGAGCATTTGTTGACTGGCAATTGACACAGAGCAAGTAGCTAAAGAGGTGGGGAAAAAACAGGATGTGGGATGCTACCGAGGATAAAGAAGTGATGAGATTGCCACTTGCTATAGAGAGGTCAAGTAAGGGAAGACTTGAAAGTGATTTAGCAGTAAGAAAGTCATTAATGGTCATTGAAGTTGTGGTGGAGGAGGATGCAGCCTGATTTTAATGAGAGGAATGACTGGGGATGAGGAAATGAACACGTAAGAACTCAGCTCTCAGTCACTCAAAAACTTATTGAGGCCAGACAAGGCATGTAGTCCCAGCCACGTGGGAGACTGAGGTTGGAAGATCACTTGAGCCTGAGAGATTGAACCTGCAGTAAGCTATGATCACACCACTGCGCTCCAGCCTGGGCAACAGAGCAGATCCTGTCTCTAAAAACAAAAGCGAAACCAAAATGAAATGAATGCTGCTTCCGTTCAGACTCCTACTGAGAAAAGTGTTGCTCAAGGGTATAGATGTACTTCAAAGTAGGTAACATGGGACAGTTGAGAACAATTGTTTATAGAACATTTAAGTATCAAACATGGTAAATAGAGGTTGGTGCAAAAGTTAATTGTGGACTTTGTCATTACTTTTAAATGGCGAAAAATAAAAAAAACTCGATTACTTTTGCACCAACCTAATACATGATCTCGTAAGCATCAAACACATTTGTGACATCATGCTATTTTATAGAGGAAGGTGAGAGCTTT